ACATGTTCCAAAATAGAGCCATTATATGAGAAGCCAGTCTGATAGGTGTCTGGCTTCTAGGCCAAGCTCACACAAACATTTGTGTGAGGTGACAAGACTGTGAGCATCCCCTTGCAATGTTATTTTCTCTTCTTAGGCATAAGAATTTTTAGCTTTCTGCCATTCTTGAATCTTCATATTTCTTTGATTTACTCTATGCAGATTTTAATAAACTTTTTTCATTGCAGAAACTATCATCCCTCTAGGTAGTCCATAGCTCAGTGCAAGAGAGAGAAAAAAGTAATATTTTGTTTTTTATGTAATTTTTTTGTAATAATCAATTTTCTGTAATAAAACCTGTGCAACCGATCATGGCAGCCAGGAATACGATACTGAGCATGGAAATGTTATCCTCCCTGAAGCCAAAGCTCTTCCAGTCACGGCTCACAGATAGTAAATTCCACACTCATTTATAAATAGAAACTATGAAAAAGACCCTTTCAAAATGCCAATTGAGTCTAATCAGCCTCCATGAAGTTTGTACACTCATGGGATGTCTTTTCCACCACCCAGGCCTTCAGCTGAAATGCTCAAGATGGCAATTTCGTGTCACCCGGGCCCACACCAAGATTTTCCCATGACTGCATGTTCATGTCATCTACCCATCAGGCCAAATTTTTTCAAGACATGATGGTCACATCATCTAGATCAAAGAGGTTAACAAGGAAATCCAGCTAATTCTTTGAACTATTGAAATATACTATCTACCCTATATTTCACTATCAATCAATCAGTACACATCTCATACCCATCACTAATCCGGTGACTAATATGCACCAGCTATGATTTACCACACCCTCCCCTACTCAGGATTCTTCCTTTCAGAATTTACCCGAGAGCAGGATTACCATTAGGTAAAAACACCAAATGCCCAAAGAACCACTGCTTATTCTCTATCTGTTCCACATAGTTGTCTGGTTTGACACAGTTATTCTAGTCATAAACACATAATTCTGCAAATAAAGCTACTACTTACAGTATCTCCTCCTTATTACAGAGCCCAAAATCAATAATATCTTAAAGAGAAAGAGATATTACTTTTTCCAAAGATACCTGGAATGTCTAGCCCTCTAACTGTGGGATATCAAAAGTACCTTCACTGTATCAACAAGGCAAATATCAGATATGCTTCCACTACAACAAATTATTTGGTAGATTAAAGAGTAAAACAACTTCAAAATATGTTTATAAAGATTTCTAAAACTTCAGCATTCTTGTATGAATAAACTAGGCTGAATTACTTGCCACCTTAGTACTCCCAAGAGCCATTTCTTGAAACTAGTTCATACAAGTGGAAAAAAGTGAACATACAAGAAATAACCCTCACTTCACAACTATATCAAAAAGGGAGATATCAGATATACTTCCACTACAACACATTATTTAGTGGATTAAAAAATAAAACAACAACTTTCAAAGTATGTTTTGAAGGACTCAGCACTCAACAGATATTGCTTTCCTGAGAAGTCTTCAACCAGCGCTTACAAAAATGAAATTCATCTACTTGACTGCATAGCCAGTATCTGCATCCGGATTACTAATACTGAATAGATACTCTGTAGACAGGACCGACATTTCAATACTTTGTTAAGAATCATTAAAATCCAGCAAAGGACAACTGTTGGTAATATGTAATTCTAAAGCATGTGAAGTTTCCTTACACTGACACTTGCTTCGTACCTGAAATTGACTGGACCGAAGTAACTTAACAAATACATGCATTCTATCTTTAAGACCGTAAATCCTTCCTAATTCATTAAACATAGTATTCCGCTTGAAAATGCAAAACATAATACTTAACAAGGCAGATAAATTATGTCATTTTTCTGCATTTTCTCCACAATTTTTTTTTTAATGACAATTGGAATAAAATCTGACCCTATCAGCTTTGTGCTAAAGTGTTCTGATATAGTAAAATATCATTATGAAAGTAAAGTAGTGCGCGGTGATTTTATCATACCTTTAATATTTTCATAAATTAAAAATATCTAAAGCCATTTTTAAAACGGTTATATCCAATCTACTTTTTGCAACCTTATCATTCTTATAAAAAACATACATCTTTTTCAAATAAGCATAAATGTAATATTTTTTAACTTTTACAAGACTATGTATACATGTAATTTTACATATATGCTAAAGAATAGTAACAATGACTCAGCGTATCAAATCAGCTTTTGTCATGCTAGTTACTATATTTCACTAACAACTGTCAAGGTATATATACAAAAACATCTATTCAAAAAAAGAATTCCACTTCATATCAGAAGAATATTACTTCCTAACAGTGATACAGCATAATTCAAATAAATACTTACATTCACTTACGCACACAGTTCATACAACCTACTTTTCTATGTCAATCACAGGTAAAAAAAAAAAAACTTTTCAATAATGGGAACTAATAAAACAAAGAATTAAAAGTCATCATGAAAATATAATACAAAGAAAATAATGAATCTTTTATATTTCTGGTTGAAATACCATAAAATAATCTCAAAAAAATTCATAAGAAACTTTTATGACTTTTTTCTATTCTGATACACACACACAAAAAAAATTAATTTACTCACCAAGACTGGCTCTTGGATTGGACGATATGGACTCCAGAAAGCGGCTGTCCCTATGGCACATGCGCAATGGGACAAATAATGCTTTTCCAGCTGCACATGTGAAATACCGCTTTCCGCTGAAAGTTCCATCTGACAAGCCATCCTCAGCATCTTCCTACATCAAGAAAGAAACAAATGCATTGTATCCTGTAAACCCTTATTCTAATTTTGACCACTTCAGTAATTCATGTGTATATTCATACACAAAAATTAATCCATATGTGTATATATGATGTATATGCCATGCCTGCTAAACTATAAGATAATTAATTCTACTTTAACCCTCCTTTTAACAACAGCATTAATATAGACAGACAAGAACCTACATACCACAATCAGGAGTACACTATGAGGGTTGGGATGAATTTCAGTGCAATCCAAAATGAAACTATGCAATCCAAAATGAAACTATGCAATCCAAAATGAAACTATAAATCTATGTTATGAATAAGCTTACTTACAGATCAATAAAATAAAATAAACTTGTATAAAACAATACTAAATTTTTTTTTTTTTTCTTATTATTCTTATTCCTGTTATTCTTGTTCTTATGTAAATATAAGCAAAAAGAAAAGGATACTTACCATTTCCACTCCAGCAACTTTCCGTCCCTCTTTTTTGTCACCTGGCACAGTGCCAATCCAACGTATGACACCAAATCTGCAGAAGGTATTACAAATCATATTTTACCAAAAATGGGTCTGTATATATATTCATAATACATTTATATAATAAATGTATTTCTAAAGTGACTAATATCAATTATGTAAAGCATTTTTATTTATGATCTTATTTTATTACAACATGAACAGTATCCTACCAAAATCATCAAGCATTCAAAATGTCCCGGTAAAGAAGTCCCTAATACAGCAGTTTTATATCCTATATCAACCACTCCATACACAAAAGCAATGCAGTTGAAACTCACCTTGGAACCTCCTTAATGACGACCTCTACCAGCGACCCAATGTCAAGATCCTCTTCCGTACCCTCCACACTACCCTCTGGGGTCTCATACACGCTTCCATCGCCATCTGACACAACTTCCAACTGGTCAATTCCTGGTGTAAAGGAAAAACAAAAATATTTATTTTCTTCTTTACATGCAAATGTTCACCTGTTTTTGTTTCTTATTTACTAAAGGATTAGGAAGCTATTCATAACCTATTCATACTTGACCACTTTCCTTGTCTTTATTCATTCACATTTACTTTAGCATTTTCATTTTCCAAGTATTGATAGACATTATCTGTTCACCTGGAACCCCATCTATCATTTGAAAAAATTCTATTTGCATTATTGGGTGTTCATGCATCAAAGCTTAATTGATTTTAGTAATTCCAAAATCTGCCCTTGGAGAGTATATATATAGACACAAGCAAAGAGGGAGAAATCTGATTTTTGTAAACAACTAAAACACATTTCATATAGTTAAAGGAGGTCATGCAACCACTTAAAGGACATAAACAAACAAACAATAGCTTTTCGTGAGAAGAGCCAAAAGTTATCCATAGGCTGTCACTGACCTCTCCTATACGTGCTTATATGATAATTACTGAATAACCATTTAAGTACATTTCATCATGCCCTGTTTCAGGATGTGAATTTCCTTGCATATTGGAACTCATAATCTCACAGGAGAGGCAGTATCCGTCCTGATATTGTTTGCATGATAATAATAACGGTAATAATAAATTTATTACATAATAATAGCAATCATGATGAGAAATTTCATAAAAATCTGTTATAACATTTTGAGTTATCCTGCTAACCATCCTCGATACGGATCATGATCCAGATCACCAACAAAATTCAATGGCATCTAAGGTGGGCTGAGACATGCTTCTGGTAAAAAATTCATAAAAATCGGTTCTTTTCTAATTGAGTTATCCTGCTAACCACCTAACCGACAAACTAACCAACCCTACCAAAAATATAACCTCTCTGGTAGAAGAATAATAATAATAATAATAATAATAATAATAATAATAATAATAATAATAATAATAATAATAATAATAATATAATAATATAATAATAATAATAATAATAATAATATAATAATAATAATAATAATAATAATAATAATAATAATAATATATTATATATAATAATAATAATAATAATAATAATAATAATAATAATAATAATAATAATAATAATAATAATAATAAATAATACAATAATATAATAATATAACAATAAACATAACAATAATAATGATAATAACAATTAGAATAACAATACAATAACAATTATAACAATAAATAACAATAACAAATAATAATATATTAATAATAATCATAATAATAATATAATATATAATAATAATAATAATAATAATAATAATTAATAATAATATTATTATTATTATTATTATTATTAATATTATTATTATTATATTATTATTATTATTATCATATATCATTATCATTATTATTAGTATATTATCATTATCATTATATCATTATCATTATCATTATCATTATCATTCATTATATTATTATTATTATTATTATTATTATTATTATTATTATTCATTATCATAATCATTAATCATAATATATCATAATCATAATCATAATAATCATAAATCATAATCAATAATCATAATCATAATCATAATCATAATCATAATCATAATCATAATAATAATAATAATAATAATGGTGGTGGTGACGGTGGCGGTGATGATGATGATGGTGGTGGTGGTGGTGTGATGATGTGGTGGTGTGATGATGTGGTGATGTGATGTGATTATGATGGTGATAGTGTGATGATGGTGATGGTGTGATGATTGTGTTGATGTGATGATGATGGTGTTGATATGATGATGATGGTATTGTGATGATGATGGTGTTGATGTGATGATGATATTCATGGTGATGATTATTACTTTTATCATTATTATCATCATTATAATTATCATCATCTTTATGATAATAATGTTCTGTATATGTAAAAATGATAACAATGACAACAATGAGCAGAAAAGGAAAAAATACCCAAATCTTATCCTTTCCCATTTCTTTTCCCTTACCATGAAGTGACAAATGGTAGAGGGGGTTCACAGGGAAGTCGTTATCCCCAAAGCCTCCAATCGGAGAATTCTGGTCCACATCAGCATTGACACTGGTTGACCTTGTGCCTGTGGCAGGAGACTTCCACTTGTTGTTTTTCTTGTCTAGGTTTCGGTTCAGGATCTTCCCTTTGTCTCTCTGGCGCGATTTGTGGTCATGGAGGGTTTCCTGGTGAGGGGGCGAAGGAAATGTACAAAGAAACGGTGAGCAAGATGTAGAACAAAGAGAAGGAGTCAATTTTGAGCTCTGTGTTGAGCACAAGTGTCTACGAAATGGCAATAAATGCACTATATATACACAATGATTTTTGCAATCAATTTCAAAATATAATTTGTACTATACATAACAAAGAGTATATCATATATAAAAGTAGTTTACAGCATATACATCTCAATCTAGTCATTACTGACATCAAACCCTCATATCATTTATATTCTAATTCTATAACAATAAGATAACACTAATCACCAAATATAAACATCAACACTAGGACAACAATAACCTTATTGCTGGATAACATATTTTTCTGCACAGAATAAGTCATGTGCGGCAAGATTTCCCAATCTTCTTTCTCTGAGTAAGGGGGTGGAGGGTCTGAGTTTCGCTGGCCAGATGCAGAGAGTTGTTCGTAGGCCAGGAGGTGGAATGGCGTCATGCTGGAGATGTCACTTCCCAACTGATTATCTCCCTGTCAAATGATGTTCATGTTATATTACAAAATGTACAGAGAGAAAAAGAGAGAAAGAGAGGGAAAAGAGACTGACAGGATGAGAGACAGAAAAGAGAAAGAGGAATAGAGAGGAAGAAAGAAACAGGAAACAAGAAAGAGAGAAAAAGGAAACAAGAAAGAGAAAAAGAGGAAACAAGAAAGAGAAAAAGAGGAAACAAGATAGAGAGAAAAAGGAAACAAGAAAGAGAGAAAGAGGACATAAGAAAGAGAGAAAGACGAAACAAGAAAGAAAGAGGAAACAAGAAAGGAAACAAGAAAGAAGAGGAAAAGAAAGAGAGAAGAGGAAACAAGAAAGAGAGAAAAGGAACAAGAAAAGAAAGAGAAAGAGGAAACAAGAAAAAAGAAAGAGAGAAAGAGGAAACAAGAAAGAAGAAAAAAGAGAAAGAGAGAAAGAGAAAGAGGAAACAAGAAAGAGAGAGAGGAAATAAGAAGGAGGAAACAAGAAAGAGAGAAAGAGGAAAGAAAGAAGAGAGCGAGAAAGGAAACGAGAAAGAGGAAACAAGAAAGAGAGAAAGAGAGAAACAAGAGAGAGAAAGAGGAAACAAGAAAGAGAGAAAGAGGAAACAAGAAGAGAAAGAGGAAACAGAAGGAAACAAGAAGAGAGAAACAAGATGAGAAAAAGAAAAAGAGAGAAAGAGGAAACAAGAAGAGAGAAAGAGGAAAGAAAGAGAGAAAGAGGAAACAAGAAAGAGAGAAAGAGGAAACAAAGAGAGAAGAGAAAAAGAAGAGAAGAAAGAGGAGAACAAGAAAGAAAGAGGAAACAAGAAAGAGAGAGAGGAAATGAGAAAGAGGAAACAAGAAAGAGAGAAAGAGGAAACCAAGAAAGAAGAGGAAACAAGAAAGAGAGAAAGAGGAACAAGAAACAGAGAAAGACAAGAAAGAGAAAGAGAAAACAAGGAAACAAGAAAGAGAGAAAGAGGAACAAGAAAGAGAGAAAAGAGGAGAAACAAGAAGAGAGAAAGAGGAAACAAGAAAAGAGAAAGAGGCAGAGAAAGAGGAAACAAGAAAGAGAGAAACAAAGGAGAAAAAGAAAGAGGAG